GCCATTCTTTCAACAAGCTATGTTGAGCTGCCCACCGGTAGCTGCAGGTAGATTTTGTTTTCCTGTGCTTAGCTGTCATTCTTTTCTAGATTAAAAAGAGAATTCTTTTTCACTAGTTCTTTACTGATTATTGATACAGTACTGAAAATACTCTGACAATAGCAAACCAAACGGACCATTTTCTAAAAACACCAGAGATACTCAGGCACACAAACGTTTATTCTGTTTATTTTCATGATATTTTCTGGTATTTTACCTTCAAGGCAGTAAGTGAGTATATTTGCTGTACATTGCATCTATATTAATCTTCCCTACATGATCATTTCAGTTCTGTGATCATAGTGATTTATGGACACACATCTCTGAGGCATTCATAAAAGAACCTCTTCTAGTATGATCTTCTGAAGCTACAAGGGTAACTAAAAGCTTTTCACACTGACTAGGTAGTTGAAAGTTGGAATTTTTATTACAGTTTAGCTGAGCTATGGAATGAGCACACAGTGCACTAGATACCTCATTTGTAGGTTTATACATACATGTATATATGCCAAAATCTGTCTTCACTTATATAAATTGACAGAAAATGAGTACAAATGCATGCATAGATACTGTTTTTCATTACAGCTATTAGAATTATGAAATCTTTTGTTTTAACATCTTAGGAAAAAAGATAAAGTTTTAACATTACAATGTTGTTTATATTTTCTAGTGTTCAATATAGATTATGTATTATGTCTGTACATCAAATTGACATTGAATTTACCATGAGATTTCTGAGGAGGGCTTTTGATTGACCCTTATTAAGAACCCAACTGTCTCACACATACATGCTGAAAACTAACATAGTGTAACAAAAGCTATTCATGGCTATACTTTATAAAATGAAGTATACACAAACTGCTTCTGTAAGGTCTTAAATTTTGTGAACTGCTGATTTGCAGAACTAATCATGTGAGTAATACTATAATCTCTCATGGAGAGCAAATATAATAAAATAATGATTTAATATAATGGAATCACCTTGAGTCTCACATCCAAATAAAATTCTTGAGTACAGTGAAAAGAGCTGAACCTTAGGTTGGAGAAGAATGAACCAAAGGAGGCAGAAAAAAAGAGAGTAACATGGTTATTTGTTGCATCAGGCCTAATAAAGATAATTAGTGATATTGATATTTACAATTTGCTTGTGGTACAAAATAAAAAAGTGATTCAAAAAGGCGAAAAAATGACAGCTCCAGGTAGCTTTGAAATATTTTTTCATCAGTCTGGTTAAGATCGGTTTTCAGTTCTTTGAAACAAATCCTGTTAACTTCAGAGAGCATACTCAGGGGCTACTGAGTCAAATCTCTGGACTACAGAGCGCGCTATGAAGTACAGCTTTGGGATTAGTGGGACCAGTGGAGGGTTTCCCTGTCCCATTCAGCAGGCACAAGAGTAGTGATGGAAAGGTATTAGAACCATTAATGTTCTGTGGTCAGCTAAGCCTTCAAATTTTGGTTTGTTTAGGCTTCTAATGGAGAATATTTTCTTTTGCAGCTTTTACAGAGGGACAAAAACCTGAATAGAAAAAGACACCTAGCTCTTTTATAGAAGTGATTTTACCAGACTCTGAAATTTGATGGAGTCTAAATAACCAAACAAGCATAGTTCCATTGACTTCTATGAATCTATGAAACTTGCAAAACATGAGGACCATGCATTTGCTAGTGGTCGGCAAAACAGCACGAGCAAATCTGTAAGTATCTGTTTAAATTAGATGTTAAACTTTTAAAAAGGTCAAGATAGAGCTGAATATGTGATCACAATTAAAATCTGAAAGCTAATTCCTTGCTCTCTCAGTAGAAGTACAAATGAAGTCTGGCTTCTATTAATTTGCTTCCTACTTAGTCTTTGAACTGGACCTGACAATCACAGATGCTATTTTATTTTATAGCAGCTCTCTACATGGCAGTTCTAATGGGTTAACAATTTAAAAGAACCAACTTGGTGAAGAATATTTTCCAGTGCTAACTAATTCCTTATGCCAGAGAAAGAATGTGGCCATGCCGACAGTAAATTATCTGAAAAAGAGGCTGGAACTTTGAAAGTACAGAAATTCCGTCACTTTACATGGCACTTCATAATCATTTCTAACCTATAGGCATAACATTATTCAAGCTAAAGATCAACCTTGTTTTCTGAAATCTTCAGAGGGCTTTGACATTTGTCCGCCAAAAATTACTATTAAAATGAAAAAAAAAGAAAGAAAAGGAATTAGAATTTAGTATGGTAGGCCTGAGTATTACAAATTAATCACAGTTTCTCTCTGTAATCTATTTTGCACTTAGGTTGGCAAAGACTTCAAGTTCTATGGTGCAGCTACATATAAAATTCTAACTGATTAAGAGAGTGGTAACGTAGTGATTTTTTGGGGGGAGGTGCAATTTTATTTGTTTTTTTTTTTTTTTAGGCTTCAAGGAAAATGTTCACAATTCCTACTGGATGATTCTGGAGACAAGGTAGGAGCCTGCAAGTTTAATCAGTTCTTTTCCTTTCCTATTGATAGTTTTGTGAATTGTGATGTGATCCTAAAGATGTCCCGGAAGGAATCTGTCGTGGCTTACTGCTCTAGGGCAACAGGTGGGCATTTCTTGGATCCAACTACAGAACATCTGCTTTGGTGGCAGAAATGGAGAAAATGTAAATTGTTGCAAAGTAGCAACAGCATCTATGATGTATTATTGAAATAATTTATACTAGGCCCTCAGTATGGAAATGGCCCATGGGAATGTTAATCAACACAGCTACTCAGAAGCTTTAAGCTCGATGCTTTAGATTGTTTTGTACAGCTTAGTAAAGATTTGTGGGCTTTAAAATATTTGTATATTCTAACACTTTGCAATACATATTAATCTTCAAAAAAGACCACCATCTCAAACAACAGAAGCTGCAGAAGATCTCAAGGAGTCAAGTCTTTCATTTAATTTACAGGAGTCTGAGAAAACTATGGCAAAATTGTGTCATAATTAATACAGACATAGTTAAGTGAATCATGTAATAACTTTTTTCTATTAGAGAAGCAACACAGAAGACAAATGTTCTCAGCTGCATGCAGTATTTCTGGATAACAATATTACAGTTTTTAATTTACAGATTATATTTTGGGTGATTAATATTGTCAAAAAGATAAATAATCTGTGTCAATATAAATACAGATTTAGAAAATAGTACTTAAAGATTTACGTATTAGTTGTATATCATTGTCAAATATAGCAAAACCTCAGTGACTACAGGCACAAAGTTCTGCTATGGAGCAGAACACCGCTGATTAATGTACAGCTTACTTACAGGCACATTATTATATTTTATTTGTAAATTAAGATTCTGCCTCTTCTGTGATTTTAAAGACAGAAATATACTATCTCTTCTTTCTCCTCTCCTGCTACAACCTCCATCTGGTCTGCTTTCAAATGATTGCCATGAGTATTATTTCCAGATGGGAGGAATCTGGGACTGTGCTATATTGATGTGCATTGGTATTGATTACTTACCTCCTAATTTGAGTCGCTTCACCTCAGTATCATCTCTCATTTTTCTCAGAGGTCTGAAGAACATGATGAAAGCTGCCCCCCCTAATTTGTACCAGAGGCTACGATTCAGAAAAGGGCTTGGATATGTTCTTAAGTAAGTGCTTTGCTGAGCAGGGATACGTTAGGCAGGGGAGGGACTGAGGCCAGGGAAGTTTCCTCTGCCGCAGCAGAGCAGCTAACCAGCTCTGCACTCTCATAATGCCACACTGGGAAGGGGAAGATACAGTGAAAACCTGATTCTCTATTTCATGTCACAAATGAAGATGTGAGGTACACAGAAACTAAATCCCAGAACCACAAAATGATGATTACTCCCAGTGAAATACCTGGGAGTTGGACACCTATGAACACTTTAGAGTATCTAGGCTCAGTAACTTGCTGAGATTATTTAGAAAACCTGTGACAGAGCAGGGATCATGAATTTAGTACTGCTGTGTTGCTTTCAATGTTAGTTTTTTACTGGTTTGGGGAGCATTTTTGGTTTTGTCTACTAGCAGCTGAACAACAGCACAGCTCCTTAGTGTAGGATACTTCATTCACCTTGTCTCTGAGCGCAAGAGCCCTTAGTCCTGCTTAGATGATTTTGTAGGAGATTTTCTTTCTTATTTTTTAATTTTCTTCAATAACTTCCCACTGAAAACTCTGGGAATATGGTAATCCTAATAACAAAGAAGACTGATTTAAAAACAGTCATAAAGTGAAACTGCTGGGTCATTTATATCCCTTAAAGCCTACCTGACTACCAGCTTCTCTGTTTAGAAACAGGCAGAAGAGAAAAGTTGAATAACTTGAATCTGGTTAAAGCAGTCTCCTCTATGACCCCCTCTGCTCAGACTGTCAGCGTTGCAGGTTGAGTCTGCAAGTAATTTCTTTTCTATCTTATCATCAGCTGTGAATTATGTGCAGTCTCAACCCTCTCTGACAACACACTTAAATGCTTTGTTAGCTCCAGGCCTGTAAGACTACATGTGTAGCCGGTGACTAGAGGCACTGGGGATAGAGCAGGCAATTTCGATCCCTAGACAAAAGAAGCAGTAATTCTGTGCTGACTTGCCCTCTGTCTGCTTCCTTCAAGCTCAGTAGTTCTCATCAGTCTCTAGCTATTTCTACTTGTGGTCCAGAATATCTGCTGCTCAAATAACCCCCGAGTCAGCCCCTGGAGAAATTCAGCAAAGTCCTGACACATGACTCATGAGTAAATGGCTTAACTCAAGGTAAGACTTTGAACCAAGCAGTACTTCTGTCTTTCATGAAAAACAAACAGCAAACCTTTCTCTTTTTGCTCAATCCAACATATGTAGCTTTCTCAAAATACTTAACAATTTAGCTGAAAGTGACCTTGCGGGAAAGGTGAGTTAGCAGCACTGTGAATTAAAAATAAAATAAAATAATAATTTAATGGGATGATTGACCGTCGAATATGTGCAGATTTCCAATAAGTATCTTGTAGTTTAGGAACACACAATTTCAGCACTTCCTGTTGCGTTTCCCTGGTGAGCATCATTGTGGAAGCTGGGGACTGCAGAAGTAAAGACTTCCTTGCTTGGACTGCCACCATGAAACATCCCCATTCTCCTTTCTTTTGTGAACACAGAATTGACTGCCAGGATTGCAGCATCAGCCCCTAGCTCATTGATTCTACTCTTCTGGAAAGGAGTTAATCTGAAACTGATGACAAACATATCAGGGAGTATTCACTGAGATGCTGTCTAAATTTAAGTGTAATTGAATATAAGGAAATACTAAAATCATCTAATTTTGAGCAACTAGACTTCAAATGGGCTTCTCCCAGAGGTGATTCAGTGGAGGCAATAGATTTTGGTACTCTGTGGCTGCTAGGAAGAGCATTTGTCTCTCCACTGAGTAACAGAGAAATTCTGGGGAGATGACCTGGCTAAACTCCACGTGTCAACTGAATAGCTTAATTTGTTCATCTTCCCCTGGCAGAATTATAGGCTAGGCCTCAAAGCAGTAGGATATTAATTGCAGCAGACCAATTATTTGTCTTTGCAAACTGCATGACTGATGATTACATAATATTATTTTCTACAGTAAACAATGTTACATGTCATTCAGCTTCTCATTTGCTTAGTTAGACAGCTGAAAAAGTCCCTTTTCTAGATTCACTGTAAATGGGATTAAGCTGATGGGAGTTCTATTGCTTGCTTCTGTTATATGCAGGAACAATGATGTGAGCTGTTGCTGTGTTCTTCTAGAGAGAGGTCAGCTAACGAATGGCAAAATGGGCTTTGTAAAATCCAGCTGGCTTCAAGTTTTCTTATCATAAATCACATCTTTAGGTCAAGGACTTCTGATCTCTTACAAGGGCAGCTGTGGAGAACATAGAGGTACGTTAGTAATATTTGTCTTCACTTACAGATCATCATCTAAACCATAGGTTTTGGCCAGTCCTCAGTGGAGAGAAAAGCAGAGGTGAAGGACTGTTTCCTGTCATCTAGATGTTAATTCGTAGTCATGCATTCATATAAACCCCTATAATGTAAGATGTTTCCTCACATAATTCAAATATGTGTATACTTGGCCACATAGCTCCTAAAGATACCAGACATGTGCCTGCATCTTCTGGTCTTGTCTGTGCAAGTACATCACAGCCCACAAAATTAGTGTCAATGACTTCTGATATCCTTGCAGCCAGACAAGGCCATACCATATAGACACAGCATTAGCTCCTCTTGCATTTCAAAGTTATTCTGTTGGGTTGCTCCCTGCCCTAGTGTGTGATATTGAGGACCCTGGGGCCATATGATGTCAGCTAGGCTCTCACTGCTGCTGAGTTGAAAGTGGCCATTAGCTCCAAGCAGGGAGGTATTTTCAGGGAAAGCAATATTGATGGATCTATTCTCTGACATATTCTCTGACTATGTCTTAACATTTTAGGGACCAGCAGAAGAGATGTTAAGCCTACACTTTTTGACAGGGTCAATGTAGTGGAAATAATATATCTCTGTAAGCAGCCACATAGTGTATGAATCTACAGTGCTAATGAGTTAAATCCTCCTCTTCTGTGCAAATGGCCTCACAGTCTTCCACTCAACAGCATATCTGAGGCTTGCATACTCTTATAAGCCATTGAAGTTCACACCCTGTCATACATTATTCCTGCCATATACAAACCAAGCCTGAAATTCCCACGCAAAAACAAAAGCTTTATGAATAAAAAATGATTCTTAGCTCCATTATAGTTTGTGAATTACTGATGAAGAGCATTTTTGACCTGTATCAAGTGCAAAAGGGGAACCATGGGTAAACAGAGTTCTCAGAAAAATTCAGACTCCTGATTTAGATGCAGAGTTTGCTATACAAACACCAGCCACAAAAAAGAAAACAAAGCAAAACAACAACCCCCCCAACAAAACAGCCCCTTTAGAAGGGCTGCATTGCTCTAAAATATGTATCACCAAAAGGCACTATTCAGTGTTCAGTTTCAGTGTTGTGCAAGGTGCTAGCAGGTGTGACGGACAGGTAGTTGAGAAAAAAAACAACAGAACCCTAACTACAGCCTTTTGTGGCAGTGCTAGTCAGTGAAGAGACAAGAAATCTGACGTGGCTGCAGGGGATCTCTGACCACAGAAAACTGTTAACATGTAATTCTCCAAGTGAATGGACTTAAAGGCCACTTAAGAGGGAGAGTACCTGCAAACACCTGATATTTTCATGACATGAAACACTGTGAGCTTGCAAACTGTGTAAAAGGAAAGTGTTTAATGGTACTCATCCTGGTGTGACACTGGCTCAGGCTGTTTGCTGATGACAGCTATGCCCATAGTACAGCTCAGGAGTGTAACAACCTACAACAAAGCACTGAGGGATAAAAACTTGTTTTCCTTCATATAGATGGGAAAAAAACATGTTTTCAGGCCTATATCTGGGGAATTTTGCCTTTGTACCACTCATTTCCAGTGCAAACCCAGATGATTTTGATTTATCTCCTGTCCTAGGAGACTTCTTTGCTTTACAAAGATAGCCAGACACAGAAAATTAGTTAGACTTTCTGAGCTGAGATAGGTTAATTTAATTTTTATCTTTCTTCTTAAGTGAGGAGAAAGATAAGCCACTGCCTCTTAGTCCCTGCTTGATGTACCTGAATAACAGGATGGGTAAGTAAATACCTATTTCCGTCTTGCTGCTTTGGTTTAGTGTTCCACTTACATGACAATACCGTCTTTACCCAATACCAGCTCCTGTGCTGAATTAAGTGCTTTCTATCTAGCAAACTCAGAGTGAATAAAAACATTCATGATGTGCTAATTATATGCCTCATCATAGGATTTAGTTGCCATCATTCTCAGGCAGACATATGTAGGCATCACAAAACTCAGTGCTGACACTTGTTTTAGATTTGGTGGCATCTCTGCATGCATTTCTAAATATTCTCTCCACTGGGCCTCCAAATGCTTTTCCAGATGCCTTGCAATCTAAAAGGCACTAAGCTCCCATCTTCTGTTGTTCTTTTTTCTTCCTATCTCTTCTATGCATCTTCTTTCTGCTACTGTTAGAACATGGACAGTTGGCTATCTATCTTTGTTAGATGGCCATACATTCCTGATTTTATCAACCCTTAGACCATCTATCATAAGCAAATCCACAATCTCCTAAGTAGAATCCTTGTCCAAGTACTCTGTTGTCCTTTATGCCAGTGGCCTGCTCCCTAGCCTGCAAATACCCACTCATTCACAACATCTTATGTATTTCTCACAAGCCCACTTTCTGGGTTCAGTCTTACTGCCTTTTTTTTTTCTATAAAATAAAAAAAGAGAAGGGATTAACAGGGTAAGGAGATCAGATATTTCTTCTCATAGTGAGAAGCTCTCGCTCATTTCTTCTTCTGTTTTTAGCACTGACTAAAGAAAAAAAGCAAATATGAATGGCTAGTTCTCCTAGGTTACACGGTTTTCCCAAAAATGCAACCACTCTCTAGATTCACTCTTACGTATACATGTCCTTGCGTTATATAATCCTGGTTGAGACAGGGTTCTTGCTCTGTGATGTACAAATTCAGTTTACCTGAGTGGTTTAAATCTTTAAAAAGTCTTTAGCTGCGAGAAAGGATTGTTGTCTCTTACGCATTTTAGTGTTCTAATAAATTAAAATTATCCTACTTTACACAGTCCCACTATGATTGTCTTCCTGTATTAAGCGAAGATGTACAGTTTTAGATACTTTCAGTAGTTTACGTTCCTCAGACTAGGCTGCAAAATATCAAGCTGCTGTTGACAACTTGCCAAGAAATACTTCTTGTTCCTTTTCCCTTCTTTCATTTTAGGGACTGGGAGACATTATTTACTTCTTGAGAGGCCCCTTGTCAACTTTCCTAAAGAGCTTGGGGAGAAACCATAAGCTATGAAATGCCTGGGTAAGAAGAAATATGTTTATCAAGATCTAACAGCTGGATGTCTTGCAAGATGCTATGATCTGTACCCAACCTATTGTTTGTGCTTCAGCATGACTTAAAGCTGAGTTGTTTTTAATTGGTTTTGGATCAGCCACTATTATTTATTCATTGCATCACAGGGGTTTTCAGGATCTCCAATTCTGGAATTCTATCCTGCTGTGTGAGAAGCCACATGCACAAACCAGAAAGTCTCTTTGTCATTGAAATTATCTGTCACAGCATGACTTATTTTAATATGAGTTATCTGAAAAACTTAGCTATTATTTCCAAAGTCCTATGCAGAGTAATTTCAAGTTAAAATATATAACTAGTATGAGCTAAAACAACTCTGCCAATGTTCTAAAAGGGACAAGCAAAATATTTTTATCTGCATGACTACCTACACAAACATACATATATCTATGTAGTTATATGTCATTCCAGGATCCACCTTACTATGTTTGCAACAATGGAGAGGTGTTTACTTGCAAAATGTAACGATATCTGCTGATTGAAGTGCTCTGCAAGAGCTTGAGAAGGTTCTTCTATTTTATTGTGTATGCTTTATGTTACAAAGAAAGGGTACTGAAACACAACAAGGTAAGGGAACAAAGGATCCCTGTCCACTGAGATGCTTGTGCTATTGTCTGAATTATAGGATCTTCTGGGTGACTACATCCTTTATGGGGTTAATAGATGGCAGGTCCTAATATGCAAGGCTCCTTAAATTAAAACAGAGACATGATCCTCAAATCGTGTGCTTAGACTGCACTATGGTAATACCCACCCCCTGCAAAGAATAAACACTACACTGTAGTGTCTCCTTTGTATACATAATACAAACAAACAATTTAATTCAGATACTCTGGATAAGATTTATCAGCTCTTCTTGCTAATTTTCTTACTTCGCTTAGCAGGTTTGAAAAAGTTTTTGTCTACAGCCCATAATGCCCTGCAATATCATTTCAGATCTGCTCAGGGAAACCTTTAATGAACTAGAAGCATCAAGTATCACCCTCTTTCATTCAACAGTTTAATATTCAGAATTAATATTACAGGCAAATGGATTAGCTTTCCTTGATGTTTATGAAGTTGCTGTAAAAGCAGATGGATAATCACTATAGCAACTTAGTGCATCAGGAGAGAGCCATTGAAAAGCATTCCATAATCAGGACCATGACCTTGTCGGCTATCACTTTCAATTGCCTAAGCAATATTTTTCATCTGTTGTAATCAGGCAAATTTGTTGCATGTCAGTAAACCTAGTTGGACTACCCCAAAACACTGTCTGTGTTGGAGAGAGCAAATCTAAGAAAGGTCATGCATCTCAATTTTAGAGATTTTATTACATTTTCCCCTATGGCATCTCATATATTCTTGTATTTCAAAGTCAGTACACCGAAATAATGAAGTAGCAAGTGGATATTATGTATCTCAACTTTAGTAAGACTGTGTCTCAAAACTTCTTCATAGGCAAGCTGAGAAAAATGGGCTAGATAAATGGACCACAAGGCAGACTGAAACTGCCTGACCTGCCAGATTCAGAGGGCTGTGATCAGTGACATGACTTCCAGCTTGAGGTTTGTCCATAATGGTGTAGTTCAGGGGCTGATGCCAGGGTCAGTACTGTTTAAAGGTACCACTGACTACCTGAATGACAGCACAGAGTACACCTATGTCAGGGTTGCAGATGACACAAAACTGAGAGCAGTGGCTGATACACTTCATAGTGGTGTGGCCATTCAGAGGGACACCAACAGTCTGCAGAAATGAAACAACAGAAGCTTCATGAAATTCAACAAAAGAAAATGCCAAGCTCTGTAACTTGGGAGGAATAACCTTATGCAAAAGTACTGTTTTGGATCAAGTGACTGAAAAGCAGCTTGGCAGAAGAGGACCTGAGTGTCCTGATGGACACAGGAGCACAAAGTTGATCATG